AATATACAAGATTCATAATGATACAAGAGCGAGTTTAAGAAATTTTTTTTTCATCTGCAGTAAACTTGTTTCTAGTCCAATTTATTCCTTGTTTAGGTTACATTTATATAATGTTTTGAGCTTATTCAATGTTTCATTATCAGCCTTTTGAGCCTGTGTTGATATGGCATAGATGAACAATACCATACTGACACAGCCCAATAAACCAAGGACACATTTATAATACCCCTGACAATATTGCAAAAATGAAACTATCATTGTTTTGTTAGATTCAGTTGATGATTTTAGTATTCCCTATTTTTGAACTTTGCTACAGCACACAGACTACAATCAACAATGAGCCAAAAATATGGTCTGTCGTTTTAATTTGAGATGAAATGTTTTTCTTGAAGAAATGCAAATCAATATTTTAGTTGTGTTTCAATGATATTTAAAAAAAAAAGTAATATTTTGGACTAGAAGCCAAAAATTGAGTAATCAGATATAAAAGGAACATCTTGAATTTTCAGTATAACAACTTGGTGCTAAAATTTCGTAATTATATTGAATATTCAAAATTTTTTTCACCGAAATTACTTACTAAAAGAACAATTAGTGAGAAGTTTAATTTATGTGACAAGTAGGTATAAATAACTCAATCTGTAAATGTAGATCATTTATATATATACAGTGTGTCAATTTGAAAACTTCCCACCCTCAATATCTTTTAACGTGTGATTCCTAACACGGGTTGGACGATAGCATGTGAAAATCAAGCGTCCAGCCTGGGGCTTGAACCATCAACTCACACATCGGCGATTGACTGAGTGAACAAAGCACCCACGTTGAACCCCCAGCTAAGGACTGGATATATCAGTTACTGGTGCTCTTCTAGGCCTCTTCTTTCTTGGGGTGCACAGAGTGCACATGTTCAAAAGCAATTTCCACTTTCACTAGAAATATTTGAACTTCCAAAGTGAAAATGAAAGATGAAGTATCTGTTACAGATCGCATACATATTCTGTAGTTTTAGTACATAAAATGCTCAACTGCAATAGTTTATAGTGAAACTGAATGTTTTATAAATTATTTATGTGAAACCTTGCAATTAAGTATTGTTCAAAGTAATAATAAAATTAGTTCAAACTTGAAAGAACCTCGAACTAAAATGAAAATTAAAATAAATAATTTTATACAAATATTATCCATGATAATAATTGACCGAGACACAAACATCA